CATGAAGTTTACTGACTCCACAGCCAGTGAGTGGACCACAAAACAGCATCTAATTCTGATCTCCTTAGATATTTCAGAGATATGCCACAATACACAAACTAAGAAAAGGCTGAATTCCTCGGCTACTGTTCAGTGGGCTGTGCCTCTCTGGGCTGTGCCTCCCATCACCCACCTGTCTGATTGACAGCCCTGACCAAGAACAGGCTGGATCTCAATAATGCCACATTTTAGTCACATTACCTGGAGAGAGTTCCTAGGCCTTTTGTGCTTTGATGTTTTCAGTGGGGGAGTAGATTAGTGTTAGTAGGCTACCCTCCTGCTCCGTTGTGATGATTCAGTAAAACAGCCAGCATAAATTGGGTTATCTTACTGCCCCAGTATTGCCAGAGGTTATAGTAAGTGCATAGTGAACATTAGCCATTATTATTGCTACATGGAGTCTGCTGGCAGACCCAGGCATGAGAAAAATAACAAAGCAACCTAAAACGCAGTGAGATTTGTGACAGAGAGATTAAGTATGTTTTATTATGGGGTCAGGAAATAGGTTTAGATATGGCAGTCTCATATTCAATATTCTATATTTAACAGAGGGAATAGATCTGTTTCAACCTCAAAGTTCTAAGCTTTCTGCAGGATTTAAGTGATGTTGGTTTTCACCATTTTTTTTATTGGTGACCTTCATCAGCTTCCATTTCTAACCACTGTCTTCCCTCATTATCCAACCCATACATAGCCTTCACTATAAGAAATAGCTGATGCATTTATTTTTTTAAAATTAATTTACTCTTGGAAATCTGAGTAGAAGCAAATAATTTTCATCCTACTACAGAGAATTTATCTTCCCAGGCTTAGTGAAGCAGAGTTGCAACAGCAGCAAAGGACACCGAGCCAACACATTCTGGGAGTGTCCCAAGCACAAATAAATGCATTTGCTGTCTCAGACTCCAAGGGACAAGACCCTGTATAAATAAATACACCAAGGCCAAAGACTCTTCAGGATAAATTGAACATAAGCGCCCGACACACAAGGAGCACTAGAAGGAAAGACTGTAATGCAGCTTTCCTGCAGGCACAACGCGCCAAGACCGAATAAAAGACTCGGGAATGTTACAGAAGGTACGGTGGGAACGAGGGGAGGACATCTGGCACCCACTGGTCTCTAGCCATGTGCAGGGCTAAACAAACCAACATAGCATGTTTGCGGAAAGAAGCAAGCGGCTCAGTCTCAGTGGCGTGTCAGCACTACACAGACCTTAGTGTCTCCTCTTCATTTAAGCTACCAGGATATTTATATTCATGAATGTCTGAGTGGGATAAGTGGCCGGACCAACCACCTCTTGGGATGTGAAGGGATCATTTACTCCACTGAAGAGTCATTTGTCTGCTGTCTGACAGAATTGAAAATAAGCAAGGCCGCAGTATCTATCGTCAGGAAGCTTATGGAACTGTACCCCTAACCAAAGAGAAGAGAGAAATGGCTTTCTTTCCACACACATGGACAAATATGGATGTGTACTTATTCCAGATGTGGGCTGAGATTAAGGTCTTGAGCAGTAGACCATACTGAGCATGAGAGGGGAAACCAGTTGCATAGCAGAAACATCCCAGATCACCTATATTAAGCACCACAGCTTCCATGATGGCAGCAAAACTCAGGCTTCAAACATTAAGGAGATGTAGTCTGTCCTCACCCTGAACCAGAACAAAAGCCATTCGTGCACAAACTTCCATGACTGGCAGATCAAGTCTTCCACAATATAGAAGGAGGATGCTCTAATTCACAAGCAGGCAGCAGAGCTGTTCTTCCTTCTTCATAGAAGGCAAAGTTTCCCTAACCTCAGAATGATAGGTCAACATAAAGGGACAATGACTCAGAAGATAAAGACAACACACCACAGTTAAAGTTTATCTTGGTCTCCCAGTGGTGGACATACAAAAATGAAATTTAAAAAAAATGAACGTAAGGCATTGTGGTACTCTCCAATAACTCTAGATTCTGAAGATAGACTTCCTTCCAGAGGCAGGAAGATTGGTAAAAGTTTAAGGACAGCTGGACTGTATAGTGAGTTCCAGGCATCCAGGGCTATATGGTGAGTCCCAGTCTCCAAATCAATCAATCAGTCAATCAATCAATCCAATAAAGAATAAATAAATAAAGGAATAAACTTTTTTTAAAGGAAAATAAAAGCTGGCCCAATGAAATAATTTCTTTGTGGCAAATTTCCTCTTTCTAAACCCAGTTTTATCCTGGTCTCACAGATGGCCTACGTTTTGGACATGAACTCAGGTCAACAGATAACCATTTAAAAAACTTCGGCTCCTGCTGGTCAGCGTCTATTGGTAAGGAGTCTGCCACACCTATCAGAAATTGCTCTCGGGTTTGGGTATGGTAGTGAAGAAGGAAGAGCTTCTGTCCTCGGGGATCTCATTCAAGCATTGGGGAGAAACAGTCAACAGACACACACAAAGTGCATTGACATCACAATTCCCCAAAATCGACAGCCCTGTGTTGTGGTTACCTACAAAAAATACCATCACTCCATTGACTCACACTCACAATGCTGTGCCCTTTTAGTCTGGGGAAGACAGAGGAACTTAGATATTCAGAGGTATCTTTTACGAGAACAAAAGCATGGAATTTCATATAGTTAAAACAGGAAGGACATAATTTAAAAATAAATCTGCCAGTATTCCATTTTACATTTTAACACTGAAATATAAATACCTAGGTTCTGATAATAAAAAAGTAACTGCTGTGGCAATATTTTTAGTTAGAACATCCATCAATTTGAACTTATGATAACACAATATTAAACTATATGTGAATATAATTCAAAACCAGACATTGTATATAGTAGCCAAAGCTCTGGTATTCCAAGATACACTTTGATATCAATTGAATTAAATAATTCTATGTAAGGACTGTTTGCTCTTTTATACACAGGAACAGTATTACCCAAAGAAAATTGATAATGGGCACTTTTAAGACATCTCTAAATACATATGCCTTCTAACAAGCGGCGCTTTCACAAAACTTTCAGGTTTCAATTCCTAATCAACCCTTGTTCCAATTCCTTCATTTCCACAAATCACAAATACTAAATCATATAATTCTTTCTGGGCAATGTTTAAATGGAGTTGGCTGCCTGGACAGGATGTAAGCCAAGACATGACTGGCTTCGGGGCCCTGGGTGGTGCCTATGGTATAGCTCTAACTCCCATTCCCAGAGAACTTGGCGAGTGGGAATAAAGAGTGGTCCTGTCTTCCCCTGAGCTCTGCCTTGGCTCTGCATGCTCTTTTGATGAAGCGTGATGGAGAAAAGACTTCTTCCACATTCAACTAAAAAGAAAGTCATTGTTTGATGTGGAACGGGAATGTCACAACCACTAGAATCAGCCAGTGGCTGCGCCTTCTCACCTACAATCAAAGACTGGCTTTTCTTCCCTCACTCTTGGATAAAGTTTGGAGTGAGCAATAGGACAAACTCCTCCAAAGGCCTAGGAGGGAAAACTGGAATAGCAGCACTCTTTCGGTAGACCATTTATGTTTGGTCCATTTCTGGCGCTAATTCAGATTAATTTCCCACATTATGCAAGAGTTTTTTAACCTTTGCATTTCAAGCACACTGATGATCAATATCATATTGAAGTAGTGCAAATACTTGAATATTATTAGAAAGAATTCCAGAGAAATTTTATGTGGTCCTTAAAATAATCAACGGCATTCTCCTCACTTTGCTGTTGTGAGGATCAAAAAATTAGCTGGCAACACTGTTAAATGTGTAAGACCGTGAAGACAAGTGCTGACTGACTATAACTAATAGAAGAACATGGATAGCAGAAAATGATACTAACACAAAATTGTGTAGCAAGGAGTGAAACAGCAGCCTCGATGCCCATATGCTCTCTCCTCTTTCCCAATGGCACTCAGATACCCATTTGCTGTGTACAATGAAGTACTCACTTTCCACTTTCCCATTTTCTTGTCTATGTAAATGGGTATGCTTCTTTATAACTGGTCAACATAAAGTAATCCAACTATTGCCTTCCATAAAAGGAAAAACCTGAACTAGAGTAAACGGGGATCTTTTTCTACAACTAGCTAGAATAATCATATGTTACTGTCTTTAGAAAGTACCTTTGGGCTAGATGGTGACTTGGAGTATAAGCATGAGGCTCTAAGTTCAGATCTGCAGTATTAATTTAAAGTTTGCTGTGGTAGCATTTATGTAACCCCAGTGCTCTCATAGTGAGACAGAAGGCAGAACGAGGAGAATCCAAGAGCCCTGTCTTGAATCAGATGGAAGAGGAGGATAGGCACCTGATGCTGTCCTCTAACTTCCTTGTGCATACCATGGCATGTGCACACCAAAGCAAGTGCACACCAAAGCATGTACACGCCTCTCCTCACACACAGGAACATTGTCATCACACACAGGAATATGCACACAAACACACACATACACATACACTAGGTACACGCACATGTGAGCGTGTACACACACACACACATACATGGACATATGCATTAAAAATTTACCTGTGATGACATAAATTGATTAAAGTAAGGTAACGACGGAGAGATTTCAGTCCTGCTGAAAGCATTATAAAAATATACATGATCTTTGAAGCTATATGCGTTTAGACATTTCTTAAGTTTTATAATGATGGAGACTTTATCACAGATAAATTAGAACACTAAATTTACTTGAAATGAATTCACAGATGAAATGAAACTTACCTTATGAAAGAAATTATAAAAGGCTAAACGGCACTCGCACTCACTCTTACTACCTCAGAGGCAGTGAGATCAGTCAGATACAGAATGTTCACTTCAAGCCTATAGGACATGCTCCTAAAACCAAATCTATGGGCTACATGCACACCTCCATATTAAGATAAAGAATCAGGATAATAGTTGTTAGTTTGAGAAGTTCCAAACGCGTAGTTTTCCCTGGATTCAGGATCAGCCACCGGGCTTGCACCCGAGGCAATCTCACCTTCGCACTTCTGAGTTGTCTCGCTCTGCTTGTGGCCAGCAGGGCATCTGCACTCGAAAGACCCCACGGTGTTGAGACAGTTTCCTCCCTGGCACAACCCCGGAATCGCCTGGCATTCGTCAACGTCTGCAAGAAGAAAACATTTTAAACATAAACAAAATTGATTCCCAGACTAGATCAGTATTTTTCTTTTATGTCCAGGGAAAATGTTCTAGGACAACAAGCTGAGGGAAGCAGACCCTCTTTGCATGCTTGTTATTTAACTTATGTAGATGGTACCATGCATGTCACACAGGTCTTCTGGAGATCCACCTGTGCTGGTCTGTGCTGTAGATAATCTACCGATTTGGTTATGCCAAAGAATGCTTCTTACTGTGTGTTTTCTTGGTTCTGGCATGGAGTTTATCATTATCTTCTCAGTTTCCCAGTGAATGGTAAAATGAATGCTCCCAACGTGCTTCCTCATGGAGTTCAGTGACTATGAACCCTGAGGATTCAAAGGCACGAGATCTCTCTGCCATGGATATAGGGCAGAATCCCTGGACAGGTGGTGTGTGTGTGTGTGTGTGTGTGTGTGTGTGTGTGTGGTGTGGTGTGGTGTGTACACCATACAAAGCATAGAAAGTAAGTTATGTAAGCACAGGGGTTAAACTAAAAGCAAAAATGAAGAAGATCTAAGACAAAGCTCAGATATTGAAATGTAACAATAATGCATGAATTAAAACAGAAATCATAAGGCAAACTGAACATGTTTTTAATTAAACAATGAAAATATACCAAATAAGGCTTGTGAGCTATTGCTAAACTGGTAGCCAGAGGTAAATGTTGAGCAGCAAAATGTCTATATTGCAAAAAGCGTTAAGTTCTATGCCCAATGATCTAACTTTTTATATCCACACATTTTAAAAGCATTAATTAAATGTGAAGTGAATAAATTCAAGGGAATATGACAAAATATAAAACAAAAAAAACATATAGATAACTACTGTAATTTCAGGGTTTCTGGGAATATGAGTAAAATTGATGTATTGTGTCAGTATTGATTACAGATATAAAAAAACCCTTATTTTATAATACAAGTAATGAGAATGAACATATCACCACAGAGTCTACAAAGATAAAAAAGATCTAAAGAATGAATGGCAGGAATTCAATGATTAAGGTGAAATATACAAGTCTGTTGAAAGGTACAAATGCCAAGGCTCAGTCAAGAACAAACAGACATTAAGAATAAAGTATATCCATTAAGGCAGTCTCATTCACAGTTTAACACAGAGAACACTTCATGTCTCAATGGACATGCCACTGAAGCCAATCAAAGATTTAAGGGAAAATGACAGAAATGTCATCCAAACTCTCACAGCACGAAAATGTGATGCTGTCCTGCCGACGTGACTAAGAAGATATCTGTCTGACCTCAAAGTCAGACCAAGACAATACCAAAGGAAGCATGAATAAAAAGAACAGAATTGGATAATCTTCCTCTGGGATAGGCACACAAAATTATGAGTCAAACTTAGGAATACATGAAAAAAAACTGTGTAACAGGACCAGAAGATGTTTATCCCAGGAATTTAAAGGTTTTCTTAAAAGCAGAGGGAAATATTAATCAATATAGTCCTTCATATTACTGAATTAAATTAAAGCCATAATGAACCTATAGATTAGAAAAACAAATATCAGACTTCAACTCCAATTCATGATTTTAAAAGCCTCGATAAATCAGAAATGTGTAGTAGTGGCTCATGTTGACAGAATGCTCATTTAAGATTAGACTTATTCATTACATGATTAGTTTGTTCAATGTATACAGCCAAGTTATGTGTGTTTTGGCTATAAATATCTTCACTAATTTATATTAACCAAGGTAATAGCCAAATCTCCTTTTCAACCAAGAACTAAAATTTAATAAACAAATTTCTTCACCATGTTTTTAAGTTTTGGAACAAGCAGAAACATTTAAAAGCCCAATACTTAACCATCAATGACATAAATTAATAATTATTGCTTACATCTTAATATAACTAAAGATTTGAAGTGGATACATTTATTTACAATTACAAAAGACAAAATATCAGGTATTAATCGAAAGTAAAATATCACTTCTAATTAGAATATATGCATATGAATAGATAAAACACAAACTATATGAAAATAGTATACACATGCAAATAAATAGCTGTTTACATAGGACATAAAATCTCATAAAAATTCTTGGAAGGATTTAATACAACTATCAAAATTTTGAATTCACTTGGTTTGTGATAGCTCAAACCTAAAGGTTACTATGAGCTAACTTTGGTCACTTAGTGCCACGGAAATGGAGATGGCACACCACTAAATGTGGATGAAGGTTGGAGATGGCACACCACTAAGTGTGCATAGAGAACAAAACAAGAACTCACCCCACTATCAACATTAAAGAAGACAAAGTTGTTAAGCACCCCAAGAATGTACACTTGATACTGCTTATCTAGTTATAGAATATTATCATAGACAGAGCTAAAACTTAAAAAGTCATCACAATAAATCTTCCTATTTTCTCCAAAGATTAAGTTTCCTAAAGTATTATCTTAATTTTGTATTGCCTCTCATTTCTCACAGTTACTGTGTTCTTTACGAAGCCATGTTGTTTTATTCTCTCTTAAGCCATGGACCAATAGAAACTGCAAGAGCCATAGGGTAACCAACTCTCAGAGATGGCCTGCCTTGGTTAGTATGATCAGTGTTTTCAAGTCGGAACTAAAGCAATTTCTATTGTCTTCTATGCATCTGACATTTGTTTTTAACTTAAAAAAATTCCAAACATCCTATAAAGTGACCGACCAGTATTATCAAAAAAACGTGTGACATGCATGCCAGTGTGTCATTTTTAATGTACCACCTCTCCCAAACTAACTAGCAGAAATGTTCAGGAAACAGTCTAGGAACAAGAGAAAATGAAATCATAGAAAGCTGTAGTCTAGAAACCTTCTAAACGGAGAATTAGCACACATATGGAAACTTCCTAACTGTGCCGCGCGATCTTGAAATGAAGCAGAACCTCTCATTTCGCTTTCCCAGACATTTTAACCATGCGTTAAGTTTTACTTTGTTTCTATTACTGTGCTAGTCTATTGGAGTTTTGAGGCAAATGAAGTCCAAAACTTAACCTCTGCTGCATAAGCAAAACCAAGCAAGTAAATCTTGGGACATTACTAACGCCTGCCTACAGAATCCCAACATGGACGACACATCCCTTAAACAGTTGTGCTCTGAAATATGAGGCCTCTGCCAGAACACCGAAGGGAAATAGACATACACATATGGATGAGGAGATTTAATAATTGTGCCTACCTTGGCTTCATGACTTTTAACCCAGATGATTTCTTTCCTTGAAATACTAAGTTTGAAGGCATTTAAATCCTGCAACTATTTCTTGGCCCAAAGGATATTTACTGCCTTTTCTGTGTGTGGACTCACAGTAGGCATTGTCCGACATGCCCCAAGCTCACCAGTGAATTAAAAGATGCCTGCCTTTATGAAATTACATTCTACAGTCAGGGAACTAAGCCAAAGAGAAAAGAAGTATATTAGAAGCTGAAAGGTGATGCAGAATAAAGAAAACACATTATTATAATATCTATGCAATGGGTTATCTTATTTTTAATAGTTACCTATGCTTATGGTGTCCTATGTACACTAATTCTCTAGAAGCCTCTAGAGAAGGGTATATCTAGAATGTATTAAAGTACATCTATACATAAAGAAAATAGTTTCAATTCTCAGACCGGTGAGTGTTCACAAGAAAAATAGAAAAGCTTCCTATTTGTAGTGAAGAATATTAAAATCAGCATTTAACACAGCTTTCATCCTAAGTTTTCTCTGTAATAGCTACTAGAAAAAGCCTCATAAGTCCACAAGTGACCTGACTTTTATTCTTGATAAATATTCAATTTCTGATCTGTGGAGTTGTCTTGTCATTCCCTCAGTGTCCCTGGAGCTCTCTTCTGAAGATCACTATGACACAGTGATTAAGATGTGATTAATTCACACCAGTATAATCATGGGTTGTCTTAACTGAGCTGAGACAGTCCATTTCAATCTGGAGTATCAGCACACATGGGATGCCTTGGGAACGGGGCACAACTCTAAACACAAAGCTTATTTATGCTTTACATACTTGAACACAGTGCTTCACAATAATTTTACTCAGGACTAATGGTGATGCATTTTTGAATAGATTAATTTTTTCTTTGTCCACATGCATGAGGTTCTGTGTGCTTTCCAGACGAGTGCAGGTACACAGAAACTCTGTCTCAAAAAGCCAAAAATTAAAAATAACAGAAATAGAGTATAAAATAAAATCACATAAAGATGGAAAACACACAGAGAATATGGATACTGTATGTTATTATGCTCTCTTTGAAATGTTTGAATGCTGACGAAGGAGCAACAGCTGCTAAAAGATATTTGCATATAAATGCTGCTGAATTAATCCAAGATAAGTATTTTGAAAATACCTTGACTTCAAAATTGAAGGCAAAAGGTATATTACTTTGGAGAAGAGATTCAAAAAAGAGATTACAGGAAATAAGAGGTTGTGGATTTATTCTGAGTTAATTAAAATCAGGTTTGATTAAGGAAGACCATCTGAGAAATCTTTGGTAGGAACAGATGGCCCAGATGTCTCAGTTCTACATCCAGAACAAATTCAAGATGCTGCCTGAGATGATCAAACCTCACAGAATACTCCAGTCAGGACTTGACCATAACTCTAAATTTTCTTTAGGTGCCCATAAGATTATCAGTGCCCCCAATCAGCCGGAAGTAGCCTGGAATACTATGCTCATATTCCCAAAAAATAGACTATGAATATTTTCCTTTGTTTAAAAAAAAGGGGGGGGGAGTGGTATGAGACAATTCTGTATTCTGTCAATTATGTTTTAAATAAACACTGATTGGCCAATAGCCAGGCAGGAAATATAGGCAGGACAACCAGACAGGAAGTAGAGGGGGGGCAATGAGAAGAGGAGAATTCTGGGAAGAAGAAAGCTCTTTCTGTAGTCCTGTCCAGACACTGAAGAAACAGGATGTGACCTGCCTTAGTGAAAAAGGTACTGAGCCATGTGGCTAACATATAATAGAATAATGGGCTAATGTAAGTTATAAGAGCTACTATGAAGTCTGAACTAATGGGCCAATAAGTTTTATAACTTATGTAGACCTTCTGTGTGATTCTTTGGGACCTAATGACTGTGGGAACTGGGCAGGACAGAAACCCCAACAAGCAGGCCCTCATGTTACAGATCCCTGGAGAACAAATTAGAGGCAATAATGAGCCTCCTAATGTAAATTTAGGGAACCAAATTTGGTTCTTCTGTAAGAGTAGCAAATACTTTTAACTGCTGAGCCATTTAGACAGGCCCTGATTCTGTGCATTTTAATATCAACTTACCATATGAGGTCACAGTGGAACTTTGCCATTCATGGTATCATGTCAGTGCACAAAATGTTCTTGGTTTAGGGAGTCTTATAGAATTTGGATTTTTCAACTTAGGGATACTATTTGAGATATCCTTCTAATAAAACTACAAAACTGGCAAAAATCTTTTGAGGCTACTGTTTATTTTTTTAAAATTTATCAAATTGCTCACGGTTTATTGTTCAGTGAACTAAGGTTATATGTGCATCCTCAGTTGTAATTTTGGCATGGAGACACACTGGTCTGCTTCCTAAACTATGACATTTATTTAATGGGACTGATGCCATCATCACATCTCACATACTTGCTGAATTCAGTCAGAAACGTTTAGCTCTAACCTTGATCATGATTTACTTATAATAGTTCATCTAATGTCTGTGTCTCAAACTGAAACAACATCATTTCTGTCAATAATATAAAAGTCATCTAAACTCCCTTACATCTAAATGATTTACTAGAAAGATTATTTTCACTTTCTAAAAATGGATTTAGTACATATGGCATCAGAGAAGTAGTCAGTGAATGTCAAGGTTTCTATTGGCTAAAAATGAGTGGCACCATTCCTGTAGTGACATTTTGTTTGAGCTTTAGCAAATAAAGCTTGCCTGAAGATCAGAGTATGGAGCTAGCCACACTGCTTAGCCATAGAGGCAAAACAGTGGTAGTGAACACCTTTAATCCCAGCACTCTGGAGACAGAGGCAGACAATCTCTGTGAGTTCAATGCTACCCTGGGCTACAAAAGACTGAGTAAATCTAAAAGTGAAACAAATTCAAGTCGTGGTTGCTCACACCATTAATCCCAGCACTAGGGAAGTGGAGACAGGAAGTGATATGGCTGGGGGGAGAGAGAAATATAATGTGGGAGGAGCCAGGAGCTCAGGATTCAGTCTGAGGTTTAGCAGAGAAGGCATTCAGTCTGAGGACTTGTAGAGACAGTATACCCCATTCGATCTGAGAATTTTGTATAGGTAAGAACTAGTGGCTGGCTGCTCTGCTTCTCTGATCTTTCATCATGTAATATGCATTACATATTTTAGGAATTAGTTTTTTAAAAGTTTCTTTATTTGTCATCTTATTCTTCCCCATTAATGTTAAGAACTGAAACTTTCCATTAGGTGACTAAAGATAAAGATCACCCCTGAATATCAGACTCCACGTTTTTATTATTAAGACCAATTAGAAATCATATTACACAGTCTAGGTACTTGGGTTGGACTCTGTGGCCATGGAGCTTCAGGCCCCAGATCTGCCCTTGATATATGTACAGTGCCACTTATGAGGCATGGGAGGCCCTGGAGATTACCTGGAGAGAAAGGCATCATGGATGATCAGGAGAGAGAAGAAATCAGTTTCTCTCAGACAATAAAGTGTATATGTAGTGCACTATGGGTGTGGAAAGAATTGTGCCGTCAGAATACGGACATAGAGCAGTTTGCCCTCTCATTGCATTACATATTTTAGGAGTTAGTTTTTTTAAAAGTTTCTTTATTTATCATCTTATTCTTCTCCATTAATGTTAAGAACTGAAACTTTCCACTAGGTGACTAAAATATAAACTACATCTGTCATACTTCTGAACAGATCCACATGGCAACATGATGTGGGATTTCCCCTCTGTATGGTATGAATGTTTTATTACTATTGGTTAATAAAGAACCTGCTTTGGCCTGTGGCAGGGCAGAATATAGGTAGGCAGAAAAAGTAAATGGAATTCAGGGAGAAAGAAGGTAGAGTCAGGCAGATGCCATGTAACTGACAAAGAAGAGAGAGAGAGGCAAGTCTGCTAGAGAGGAAACAAGACATGTAGAAAATGACATAGTACCACAGAAACATGGCAATACAAAGACAAATAGAAATGGGTTAATTTAAGGTGCAAGAGCTAGCTAGAAATATGCCTGAGCCATTGATCAAACAGTGTTGTAATTAATATAGTTTCTGTGTGATTATTCAGGTCAGGGCAACTGGGAAACGAAGAAGCAGTCTTCGTTTACAGCAGTGGGTACTGTTTTCAAGGTTCCCATAAACAGTTTCTGGTTTGCTGACTCCAGTCAAAGAGGTGGCACTTGGCATGGTAAACATAACAGACTCACCCTGACATGCTCCCGTGCGGATATTGGGGATAAAGCCCCGGCGACAGGGTTGAGGCTGGGCTGGACACATCTCACAGGGATGACCCCAGGCTCGTCCAATGGTGGCACAGCACAGTGTCTTCGTGCAGACGATGCCTGTCAGCTGCCCCTGGCACATCTGGTTATTGACTTGTGTGAAACATGGGCCTGTCCTGTAATCTGGAATGAGAGAGGAGAAGGAAAGGCAGCATTAAAGACCCCGTTTACCAGAGGCAGAAACCAGAAACTTCCTTCTGAGCCGTCCAAGGACAGAAGAGCAGTGAGTTTCATTTTGAAAATTTATAACTTCCAGTCGTGAGATGTATATTCAGAGACCACAGTGGATTATGCACTGGGCATTGCCAGCCGATGGCTCATGGCACCCAGATGTGCTTTCTTGGCTTGGATGATTTTAAAGAATTTCAATTGGTAGTAAACATTGTAAAAACGGGAAATTTCACAAGAAACTTGTATTTCAGGTTTTTCTTGAAAAACGTGGACGTTCTAGCTGTGCTAAGTTCAATGTGTCACATTGCAAGATAGGATAAAGCATCTGTCCTCTTAGGACCCTCCTACTTTAATCCCAACCTTAGTGTGCATTCAAAAGTCCCACCTGGGCTCCGAAGGCATTTTCATTAAGGATTAATCCTCCTTACCCACTAAGTATTCTCCTTTCAGACTAAGTGGTCAAGAGTTTAGAAAGCCAAAGTGACCTGACGAAAATGTGTTTTGCATATCAAAAACATATTTGGGCAGTCTAAACAATGCATAAATAGTTAGGTCTCATAAGCTGATGTCTACCTCTGTATCAGTCTGTATCTTTATGGTTAGCTTAGAAATGTCAAGAATTCTCTACAGGCTAGGCAGTGTTGTGTTCTCTTTGTTCTGTATTAGATAACCGTTATCCTCTGCTGCTATAGATGGTGGCCAAAGTCTGGGTAAATGTGTGACGGGTGCATGATATACAGTCACTCATATGACCTTCCTATGACCTTCCTATGAAGTCAGGACTCTTACACCTCAAAGTGTAAGGTCAATATCTGGGGTCCACCTATCTTGGTATCACTTTCGATCCCGCCCTTAGACCCACTGACTCAGACTCAGTTTATTTAACAAAATTTTCAAGGGATCCACATGCATTTCAAAGCTTGAAGGCTGAATCAGACTATAGGCAACTCAAAGCTGGCTCTGGGTATTTCTAGTCTACTTTCCTCATGCTGAAAATTGACTTCAATAAATAATCTGGGGGAACTAGTAAACATTCTTGTAGGCAGAACTGAACCACCAATAAGAAAGCCATTGAGTGTTACTGCTGTGGATTTGCAAGACGTAAGAAATGAAAGAAAAGTTAGTTTCCTAATGACCGATTGGTATAATGGTTCCCAGTAGCCCTGAAAGTCAGAACACATACAAGAAAGGTTTCTCTCCAGAAAGACTGTAGCTCATCGTTGACCACCCTTTGGGAATGAAAGACGTCTCCCAGGCTTTCACTGCAAAGACTAGTGGTATTGAGTCTTATACAAACCTGCGAATGTGAATGCCAAACTTAGATAACAATCTGACATTCACAATGGCATGTAGGATGTGTTACAGCATATAAAGGTTGTGCACGGTCAAACAAAACTTAAAACCACATAAAACCGTGTTTAATGAAAAAGGAGGCTTCCTTGTACAAAATAAATGGGTATTTTAAAAGTTCAGTGTCCTTAGAGAGCTAACATAAAGATAAGTAAATTCAATGTAATGAAACAAAATCTTGAATGGGTATTTTGGCACAAGCTGGCTTAACGTTCTCAGCTTAACTTCCACAAAAATAGCTTATTTTAATTTCCTCATAAGAACAGCAGATGTACTGGCTGCAAGCTGAATTCTTGAAGAAAAGTCTTTTATGTATATGGAAAGATATAGCAAACTTAGGAATAAGTATTTTCCAGGTCATAACTTTTTAAAATCTTCATAAAACCCATATTTTGCCATTTTAAATATTGGGTTTGCAGTTTTCAATTATATCAAGTTCTGAACATATAGGAAAACTCTATTACCAAAAGATGTTAAGATTATGACTCCGTAAGGTGCATGCATAAATTCTTATCTTCAAATACTTTAGGTTTTCTGATCCCCAGGGAAAAGGCCTGTGGGGCCTTCCTCTAACCCATCCTCAAGCAAACCAACTGGCCAGGAGACTCATTCCTTCATCTCCCCACAGCACCTACTGAAAAGGCTGGCCTCTTGGCACATTCTCAGTGGACACAAGCAGCTGTGTATCTTTGCCAATGATCTTTCTGGCGGAACAGATGCAGGCAACCTTGGGCGCCCTTCCAACAACAGACTGCCTATGCCTTCCTCCTATGGCTTACACTTTCCTCTGCATCAAATCCACAGGAGCTTACTTATTGCAATAACACTTTTCTTTCTCACTTAAATAGCTTTAAAGTTTAAATTTGCATCCTTAGCTAGGCATGCAGCAACTGTCAAACACAAGAACAAAAGTGCATACTTAAGAGGAATTTAAATTCTAGGTCAAATTAAAGTATTCTGTCCCTAAATTCAACTTGGACCTTGGCTATGAGCAAGAATCTGATACATGCCTTAGTCAATTGCTTGTTGATCATGTATTCTCTTTATGAAAGTTTCACCATTAACAAAATATTATTGTCCACACCACTAAGCATGAGGGGTCAGGGTGGGAGCAAGCATAGGAATGTTTCATCAACTTGGTATGTTGGAGCCAATGGATGAGAAACTAATAACTTCCTCATTGGGTTATGACCAATAATTTTACTTTTTTAAATTAGCCTAGGAGCACAAATATTGTTTTTTTATTTTCTAATATCTAAGTGAAACGTGAGTGGCTGAGAACTTGTTTTAGACCATTTCGTTTATTGATTTTGTTTTTAAACTCATTATCTTTTTTTCTTCATTGCTTGTGTTCAATTGCATGATGTGTGAGGGGGGAGGCGTGTGTGCCATGGCTCACACGTGGATGTGAGGGTAAAACTTGGTGGAGTCAGCTGTCTGCTCTCCACTTTATCTTATGCTCCAGAGATCAAACTCAGGCCAGTGGGCTTTCAACTTGTGGTTGCAAGCATCTTTAATTGCTGAACCATCTCCCTAGCTCTTCATTTCATGCTTTTAAACATCAGGACAATTAGCATGCTCATAAAAAATATCTGGCAACTCCTTGCATTTCATTTCCCACAAACAACTTAATTTAGGTATATCTTACAAGTCATGAATCCATCTGTCTGAAACACACAATGAGAAGATTGCGGCACATTTATTGAAATTCAGTTCGGGAACATTTTTGCTACTTTTCCAACATTCCTTATGTCTTTTACCAGCCCAGTCCTAGACAACTGCTCTCCAAGCCCTGTCACTACAAATCTGCATTTTCAGGACAACGCATGCAGATAAATGACATCATAGGCTAAATTGAGTCTGAGGCCCCAAATCTGCATATGAGATTTATTCTTAGATGAGTGGACCCAAGCACTGTATATAGCATATGATGCAAGATGGCTAGGATACTGAACTGTAAGCATACATCATGACAGAGGAGAGGAGGGGAAAGATGAACCAAAACAAAGTGGATATGAAAGAGCCTTATAGATGCCTAGTATCTCATAACCGTATTTTAGAAAATCATTTATATTCTTTAAAAAGGAATTTGACAGGAACCTCCTTGTATAGCCAGAAAAAGCTGTTCTCAGAGGGTGTGTATTATTGAACCCCAATGCCAAAGGTGAGATACCTCTGAGCTGCTGATGAAGAAGGCCCAGGGACTTTAAAACAATACACGCTCGTGCTATTTTTTGGGGGGGGGGGGTACCACCAGAGTTAGATGAGAAGACCTAGTACTGAAGACACTATAGATATTGGATGTGTGATATGGAGAAAATGACTAGGACTGAACTGGAAACTTCCTCCTGTCCAGCTAGCTTTCATGGCGCCAGAGAATGCTATGCAGGCCAGTTAGGGAGACGTGGTACCAATGGTCTTACTTTTCTGTGAATATTATGATCTTATTAGGTCAATCGACTAAATAAGTAAGCTATATCCTAAGGTGTGCTATGGTTATGAGGTTAACCATTTGCTTTCTGATTGGATTTGGGACCCACTCCACAGAAGGAAAGACAGACCTTGAACTAGAGACCTGGACAAAACCCCATGGCAAGGGAGTCATAGGCACTAAGGGGGGAGTGAATACTGCTGTTTATCTAGCTTGACAAAGCACCAGGCTGTCCTTAAACATGTATGCTTACCCCCAGACAAATGCCACTTTCAGGTGTATTCAGACACACTTCCCTTGCTAGTGAACAGTGATGAGCAGAGATTCATGGCTGTACAAGGTCCTCAGTATAAGTGATGAGTGAATGTTCTATCCTAACAAAGCAATCTATTCCGTCCTCACTAAGGCTCATGGAGCACTGCCCAATAGGGGGCACGGCAGAAAGAGTGCCAGAGTTAGAAAACAAAGCAAAATCTATGAAACAACATCTTCTAGCAAAGACACAGAGCTACAGATGCCTGCACAGGGTCCATACAGGTGGTGCCAGTAACATTAAGGCGTGGGTTGGGGAGGGACTCAGGAAACCCTAACCCTTACTGCTGAACTAAAGTTTTAGTGAGGAGCAGTGCATATAATTGCTTTCATGACCCCCCTCCCCCATCACTCTCACGTAGTTTCAAACCAATGTTACACAGATGGCTCTGGTTAAAATAAATGGGTCACAAGACCAAACCAAAAGTCTTGTAGCAGAGGGGTTCATTTTGAGAGGCATAAAAGAGAGATGAGATGAGAGTGATAAGAAAGGCTGGAAAGGGGAGAATAATCATAAAAACATTATATATTTATGAAATTATCAAATAACAAAATTAGTCAATAAAAATATCTGAAGGTAATAAAAGTTCGATGAGGGACTAGGGAGATGGCTCAGCGGGTAAGGAACCTGATGTATCAGTACAAGGACCTGAGCATCTGGTCCCCAGCACTCAACGTAAAAACCACCTGTAGATCTGTAACCCAAGTGAAGGCAGGGGCACAAACAATAGGAACCTGGAGCTTGTTAGCCTGCCAGTATAGCCAATCAGTGAGCACCAGGTTCAATCAGTGAGAGATGATGTCTTCAAAAATAAAACAGGCGGGGACTATGAAGGGCAAAAATGGTGAAATCAGGTAG